AATAATTGTGGTTCCATTTCAACCAAATTGAACTTAATTTTCAATTGGAGTTATGTAACTTGAGTTCAATTAAAGCTTTGAATTGAATTTTTGTTAGGGGTAAAGTTGGTTTATATATTTTAGGGTAAATTTTATAAATGATCCTTAAACTATTATCTTTGTTTTAAAATCTCCCCTAAACTTGTATTTGTCTCAATTTATCCTTTGAACTATATAATAGGTTTCACTGCACCTTCGGTTAATTTTAGACATTAAATGACGCAAATTCACACTCTCAACCAAAACCCATATGCATCTCACATCTTTAAATGTATGTCATTTAACATCTAAAATTAACATAAGGTGTTAATTGAAATCAATTACATACTTCAAGGGATAGAGTAAAACAAACGAAAGTTTAGAGGCATTTTAAAACAAAGGTCATATTGTAAGAGACATTTATGGTATTTATCATCTATTTAATTACTTAGGTTAAGTCCGAGTACTCTCAACCTGTCCAACCCAAGCTAAAGACTTCTATTTTGACCGATTGTAATTTGTCAAAAAAAAAAACCGTCCAACCCATCCAAATTGCACAACTAATAAACTAACAAATGCTACTCCAAAATATGGGCTAATGGGTGCAGTAGTATTTTCAGAATACCATATTTCACTGGTGTGTGCATCTGTGGGCTATTTAAGTCAAAGTCTTAGCCTTAATCTTTTTTTAATTCAACGGTCAAAAGTGTTTTGACCAGTTTATGTACATTCGGTCAAAGACAGGTTTTTCACGTCTGGACTAAGATATTCATGAGAGATAAATTTCTCATAGTTTGACCCCAAGGGATTACCAAACTTCAAACTCAAGACGCCTAAATTTACAGTTCGTCTCTGTTACCACTTAAACTAAAAGGGAAATGTGGTGCCCACAAATAAATTAATCGTTGTCAGAAATCATTCAATAACACGAGATTTTTCATTTCTAAGGCACAGGGGGTGCAAAGAAAGTGTATGGGTACCCTGCCCTTGCTAGTGTTTTCTTCACTCAATCCTAAGACTTACCCAAGAAAACATAAGTCCATAGCCGGACAGAGCCCACACTCTTTCCATCTCCTTCAAGCACTTCAATGCTTTGTAATTTATCAGGGCTGATCTTGGGCATGACGGAACTGTTGTTCTTGTAGATTTCAAATAACCTATCTGGGGATGATTTGATCTCAGTTTGGAGCTCAAGCTTGCATATCTGAGCCATATCTGTAGGCAAACCAAACAAGTAATTTGAATTTCCAAAGGGAGAACAAGGGCTTTATAGAAGGTAAAAGAGCTATCCCAAACTGGGTTTTTGTTCCCTGGTGCTCCACTGGACTGGTGCCATGGAAAAAAGAATTATTCCTATCTATCTGTTATATTATCTTTTAAAGCCAAAAAGGCTTATTGGTCTACCACTTGGTGTGATTCCAACATCTCTTTTCTTTTCTTTTCTTTTTTGCTGCAAGATTTTCAAGCTTATACCGACTATTCCCTCGAACTCAACAACTAATCACCGTGACTTAAATTAAGTTAGAGAATGTCTCAAAAAAACGAGGATGACAAACCCTTAAGACAACATCACTTTTCTTGTCATATATAACTCANAAAAATATAATAACTATTTTTCACAATGTTAATAATTATTTGTTTGCATTTTGATCCGTTATTTCAAAAGAAAATGAGTTNTAACTATTTTTCACAATGTTAATAATTATTTGTTTGCATTTTGATCGGTTATTTCAAAAGAAAATGAGTTTTACTTCACAAAACCCCCATTATGACTCCTCGAGCAAAAGGATGTCTGTTCCTGTCACTAGGAATTTGCTTCCTAATGCTATTATAGGGGGGGGGTGAGGTCTCTGAGGGGCTTGGCCCTCGGAGGTTGCCGCATGCCTCCCCCGACACACCCATGCACTTGCACGACCACACCAACATGCATTTCCTTTTCCCAAGTCGTGGCACGCCGGTGCCGACGCCGGTTTTTTAATTTATTAATTATTAAAAAAAAATTAAAAAAAAAAATTTTTTTAAAAAAATAAAATTATTTCCCTTCATTTGAGTATTAATTGTGCGTGCAAGATCCTGCACAATATATAAAATATTGGGAACAGCTCTCTCCCCTGGTGAACTTTGAGTGAGCCGGTTGAGTGGCCGAACACGCCGCTTGAAACAGCCTGCGAGGCCCGGTGGAAAAAAGGAACGGCAAAGGAAGATCCTGGGAAAGGAAGAATGATCCTGTACGTGTGAGAGATTTTCCTGGAATAAAGAGGAACAAGTTAGAAGGGCGCCGGAGTGTTTTCCGGNCATGATGCCCGGGCGAGTGCCTTGGCGCGTGCAATGATGCCCGGGCGAGTGCCTTGGCACGTGCCATGATGCCCGGTCGAGTGCCTTGGCGCGTGCCAAGATGCCCGGTCGAGTGCCTTGCCGCGTGCCAAGATGCCCGGTCGAGTGCCTTGCCGCGTGTGCCAAGATGCCCTGCCGTGTGCCATTA